GGGGGGGGGGAGAAGATTTTTCTCTTCTCTCTCCCCCATTGTATTTCTTAATTTTTTTCACCTTTTCCCAGTTTTTTTACCATATTGCGATGTGGGGGAGTGAGTATTCGAAAGGGGTGAGAAACGCTGGTCAGGTATGTCGAAACTAAGAGGTGGGGTGTGAGGGGGAGAAGATCTTTCTCTTCTCTCTCCCCCATTCTATTTCTTTTTTTTTGTCACCTTTTTCCGATTTTTTTTATTGTTTTCTGGCGGAATATTCGAACAGGGTGGGGAACGCTGGTCATGTTCGGGGAAAGTGAAGTTGGGTGGAGGGGAGAATATCTCTCTCAGATCTCTCCCCCATTTTTTTTAATGTTTTCCCTTTTTTTAGCGTATTGCGATGTGGGGGAGCGAGTATTCGAAAGGGGAGGGGAACGCTGGGTAGGTATGTCGAAATTGTGAGGTGGGGTGTGGGGGGGGAGAAGATCTTTCTCTTCTCTTTCCCCCATTCTCTTTCTTTTTTTTTTAACCTTTTCTCGTTTTTTTTTATATTCGGCATTGCTATTTTGGTGGAATATTCGAACAGGGTGGGGAACGCTGGTCATGTATGGGGAAACAGTGAGGTGGGGTGGGGGGGAGAAGATCTCGCTCAGATCTCTCCCCCATTTTTTTTTACGTTTTCCCGTTTTTTTTACCATATTGCGATGTGGGGGAGCGAGTATTCGAAAGGGGAGGGGAACGCTGGTCAGGTACGTCGAAACTGTGAGGTGGGGCGTGGGGGGGAAAAAATCTTTCTCTTCTCTCTCCCCCATTCTATTTCTTTTTTTGTTCACCTTTTCCCGTTTCTTTTTTAATTTGGTATTGATTTTTGGCGGAATATTCGAACAGGGTGGGGAACGCTGGTCATGTATGGGGAAACAGTGAGGTGGGGTGGGGGGGAGAAGATCTCTCTCAGATCTCTCCCCCATTTTTTTTTACGTTTTCCCGTTTTTTTTACCATATTGCGATGTGGGGGAGTGAGTATTCGAAAGGGGTGGGAAACGCTGGTCAGGTATGTCGAAACTGCGAGGTGGGGTGTGGGGGGGAGAAGATCTTTCTCTTATCTTTCCCCCATTCTATTTCTTTTTTTTTTTCACCTTTTCCCGTTTTTTTTTAATTCGGTATTGTTTTTTGGCGGAATATGCGAGCAGGGTGGGGAACGCTGGTCATGTATGGGGAAGTAGTGAGGTGGGGTGGGGGGGAGAAGATCTCTCTCAGATCTCTCCCCCATTTTTTTTTAACGTTTTCCCGTTTTTTTTTACCGTATTGCGACGTGGGGGAGCGAGTATTCGAAAGGGGAGGGGAACGCTGGTCAGGTATGTCGAAACTGTGAGGTGGGGTGTGGGGGGGAGAAAATCTTTCTCTTCTCTCTCCCCCATTGTATTTCATATTTTTTTTCGCCTTTCCCCGTTTTTTTAAACCATATTGCGATGTGGGGGAGTGAGTATTTGAAAGGGGTGGGGAACGCTGGTCAGGTATGTTGAAATTGTGAGGTGGGGTGTGGGGGGGAGAAGATCTTTCTCTTCTCTCTCCCCCATTCTGTTTCATTTTTTTTGTCACCTTTTCCCGTTTTTTTTTAATTCGGTATTGCTTATCGGCAGAATATTCGAGCAGGGCGGGGAACGCTGGTCATGTATGGGGAAACAGTGAGGTGGGGCGGGGGGGAGAAGATCTCTCTCAGATCTCTTCCCCATTGTATTTTTTTTTTTTTTAAGTTTTCCCATTTTTTTTTTTCCGTAGTGCGATGTGGGGGAGCATTCGAGAGGGGTGGGGAACGTTGGTCTTGAATGTCGAAACTCTGACGTGGGGTGGGGGGGGGGGGAGAACATCTTTCTCTTCTCTCTCCCCCGTTCCATTTCTTTTTTTTTCACCTTTTCCCGTTATTATGTTTTCGGTATTGCTTATTGGGGGAATATTCGAATGGGGTAGGGAATGCTGCTCATGTATGGGAATATTCGAATGGGGTGGGGAGCGCTGCTCGAATGGGGTGGGGTGGGGAACGCTGCTCATGTATGTCGAAACTGTGAGGTGCGGTGTGGGGGGGAGAAGATCTTTCTCTTCTCTCTCGCCCATTCTATCTCTTATGTTTTTTCACCTTTTCCCGTTTATTTTATTTAATCGGTATTGTTTTTGGGGGGAATATTCGAGCAGGGTGGGGAACGCTGGTCATGTATGGGGAAACTGCGAGGTGGGGAGGGGGGGGGGGGGAGAAGATTTCCCTTTTCTCTCTTTCCCATTCTCTCTCTTTTTTTTATACCTTTTCCCGTTTTTTTTTCGGTATTGCGATGTGGGGGAGTGATCGAACATGCCGGGGAACGCTGGTCATGTATGGCGAAACTGTGAGGCGGGGTGGGGGGGGAAAAGATCTCCCTCTTTTGTCTCCCCCTTTGTATTTGTTTTATTTTTTCTTACGTTTTTGCGTTTTTTTCTTTTCTGTATTGCGATATGGGGGAGTAATCGAACAGGGTGGGGAACGCTGGTCATGTATGGCGAAACTGTGAGGCGGGGGGGGGGGGGRAAARATCTCCCTCTTTTSCCTCCCCCTTTKKWTTTGTTTGATTTTTTYTTASKTTTTTGCGTTTTTTTTTTTCTGTATTGCGATGTGGGGGAGTAATCGAACAGGGTGGGGAGCGCTGGTCATGTATGGTGAAACTGTGAGGTGGGGTGGGGGGGAGAAGATCTCCGTCTTCTCTCTCCCCCATTGTATTTGTTTTTTTATTTCCTTTTTCCGTTTTATGTTTTCGGTATTGTGATGTCGGGGAGAAATCGAATAGGGTGGGGAACGCTGGTCATGCATGGCGAAACTGTGAGGTGGGGTTGGGGGGAGAAGATCTCCCTCTTCTCTCTCCCCCATTGTATTTGTTTTTTTTTATTTCCTTTTTTCGTTTTATGTTTTCGGTATTGCGATGTGGCGGAGCAATCGAATAGGGTGGGGAACGCTGGTCATGTATGGCGAAACTGTGAGGTTGGGTGGGGGGGAAAAGATCTCCCTCATCTCTCTTCCCCATTCTATTTCTTTTTTTTTTTTTTTTTACCTTTTTCCGTTTTTTTTGTCGGTATTGCGATTTGAGGGAGTAATCGAATAGGGTGGGGAACATTGGTCATGTATGGCGAAACTGTGAGGTGTGGTGGTGGGGGGAGAAGATCTCCTTATCTCTCTCCCCCATCGAATAGGGGGAATGCTGGATCATGATAGGCGAAACCGTGAGGGGGAGGGAGGGGGGGGGGAGTGTGCACCTTTTTCCGAAACGCCGCACCCCCTCGACCCTGTTCACATACAGGGCCGAGGGGGTACGGGTTTTCGAAAACGCCGTAACCCCGCTCCCACCTCCGCTTCTCTCACATACAGGGTCGATGGGGTACGGCGTTTCGAAAACGCCGTACCCCTTCCGGTTCTCGGTGGGGGTGGGAGCGGGGGTACGGCGGTCTCGAAACGCCGTACCCCCGCTCCCGCCCCCACCCGGCAACCGAAAGGGGTACGATGTTTTCAAAACGCCGTACCCCATCGACCCTGTATGTGAGAGAAGCGGAGGTGGGAGCGGGGGTACGACGTTCTCGAAATGTCGTACCCCCGCTCCTTTCGCCTCCTGGCAACCGAAGGGGGTACGACGTTTTGAAAACGTCGTACTCCTCCGCCCTTTATGTGAACAGGGTCGAGGGGGTGCGGCGTTTCGGAAACGCCGTACCCCCTCCGGTTCTCGGTGGGGGTGGGAGCGGGGGTACAGCGTTCTCGAAACGCCGTACCCCCTCCTGTTCTCGGAGAGGATAGGGAGGTGGGGCGTACGGCGTTCCCAGAACGTTGTAGCCCGGCCCCGTAGGTGGATAGGGCCGACAGGTGCAGCGTTTCGAGATCGTTGTACCACCGCTACCTCTCGTCTCCGATGACCGGAGGGGGTACGACGTTTTTGAACCGTCGTTCCCCCTCGGCCTTGCTTCCCAGAACCGGACGGGGTAGGGCGTTTTCAGAACGCCCTATACCATGCGACGCTCCAATGCGTCGACGACTCACGTGAGGCGATGGTGGAAGGTTTGAAATCTAAATGCGATCCGTTCCTTCGTTTGGAATGTGTCTGCCATCAGGAGGAGCATCTGTTGTTCCAGAAAAGAGAGTCTATAACACTTGCACAATCTATAGAGATAGGGAGTGGGCCCTTGATTGGGTGGGGGGGCTACACGAGGCGGGATGTGGGGCCACTGTGTTTCTGAAGAACGTCACGGGTGACGACTGGTTCTGTGTTGGAGGGATTATTAAATCCGAGGATGAGAGGGTGGACGGGCACAGACGGAAGTTCAGGAGGTTTTTCCTCACAACGGTGTTCGACGAACAAGGAGTGGACCATGCGAAGGCCGACCGTAAAGTAAGCCTTGATTACAATCTGTTCAAGGGGTATGGCACTAAGACTATTACCATGAAAGCCTTCGATGTGTCCCGGAAATAAGACGAGAGTGTGTTGACGATGCTTGGCCCCGTGAAATTCCTCGCCAAAACGAACGGGTATAGGAGATCTGGAAACAGTCCCACGGTTGAGGCCGGGCATCATATGTCCGCGATATTCGTGCCTTTCGACACGCCGGACGAGGATCTTTCCGGTATAGCAATGATAGAGAGACAGAGGACGCCACATAGTTTTCCAATGCAGCAGACGTCAGCGAGTGGGAGTCGGCGCCACAACAAACAGAGCCAGTTGCGTCGTCCACCAAGCGAAGATGAGCATGGTCCTCCTGTGGGTTCGTCCCGCCGGATGGAATGTGCTGGACCGTCTCAGCCGTCCGGGCGGCAAGACCAAGGCACCCCTGTCATCACATACAAAAGGAGGGTCGTGGCAATTCATCCCTCTCCCAGTCGCCAGAAGGACGATGGTGGTGCGTCCAGGAAGGCGGCGCTGCGGGAGATAAGCGAAGGATCGGACGAGGAAACGGAGGACGATCCTGGGATCTGTGTTGGTCGACATCGATAGGGTAATCATGTCGTTGACGATGACGAATGTGGTGTCGATGAGGACGATGTCGAAGAGGAGAAAAGCGAGAGGGAGAGAGAGAGAGAGGATCGTGAGGAATCTATGCACGCTCGCGAGGGTGGGGAGTCTCAACAGTACTATGAGGAGGAGGACGGGGGCGATGGAGAAAACGATCATGCCTATCCTGTCGATGATGAGGATGGACGCCAAGAGCGGTCGGCTGATGTGAGGGTCGACGACGCAACAGGAGAGCGGTCGGAGACCAGTGTCCAGAAAAGGAAGCGACAATCTTCAACAAGTCCAACGGCGGCGGCGGGTAAGCGTGCTGCGAAGAAACTCACTATCGCTGCATCTCGACAGGCGCTCAAAGCTTCTCAAGAGGCGGTCGCTGAAAGCGTGAAGAAACGAAAAGGGTCCGCGTCGACAAGGGCGACAAAAACGGAGAAACGTCCGCCGAAAAGAAAGCAGATGGTTGATGAGGGTGACTCTGGAGAGGATGCCGAAGGGGTTCCTCCAAGAGTTGTGTCGGAACAGACACAACCTTCCGCCAACACCCATGATGAAGCCATCGACAAAACACAATGCTTCTTCTTGGAGTTCGATGAAGATGGGTTTGCGAAGAAGAAACGGGAACACATTGAAGTGGACGTCACGAAGATCTTGTCAATCCCTGAAGGTGGCATCCTCTTCAACCATAGAATGTCGAACGAAACGTTGGTGCAGTCCATATATGATGCGATCCATCATGCGGCCAAGGAAACCAACGGGAAGTGGGATTTCATGACTTTCATCCTGACTCCCATTGTGCCCAACAGGGACGGGTCTCAAGGCAGACGGATCACACCGGAGCAATTCGACGTCGAACTAGCTCATACATACAACTGGTATGCTGTTGCTGGCCAGCACACGACTGAGGCAATGAACAGACTCATTAAAGACAAGTCACCGGCCGAGATAGTGTACGGCTTGAGGTCATACTCTCACGTACGTCTTGTCTACTTTGACAAAGACAGAAAGAGAGGATATTCGTACGTCTCGACGTTCAACAACACGAGGGAGGAGCGTTCGATCCCGAGATCGTTTTCGTCATCTGTGCACCAAATCAGAACATTTTGGGATAAGAGGAATGGCCGGATCCGTCCGCCAGGGACCGTATCACCGAATGACGTCGAGGGAATGAAACGGAAAAAGAAATGGGAAGAGTTCATGAACGCCGCCTGCAAAATGACACCCGATTCCGGTCTCATGAACTCGTCCTTGGACAACGACTACTGCAAGGACTGGACGAACAAGATGCGCGGATACATGAATCTTGCGCAGTGCGGCGATACGGTGTGGCCACTGGTACAAAGATTCTTTGACATGTACGAGAAGGGGCTATTGTCGCGAGCCGACGGTGTGAGATACATCGACCTGCCGGGGAAAGTGGAAGCGAGGCTGCCTGGGCAATACTTCCTCAAGGATAACTTCGACAAAAAAGTCATGTTCCACTGCATCAAGGCCAGAAAGGGGACACCACGCGCAACGGTGTCTATACCTGACTTGACGCCCACAATCTTCAAGTTGTTCGGCGATATGACAGTGTGAGAGAAGCAAGTGGCGCTTCACCACATGATGCGTGGTGATGTCATCGTGACATCACGTTCGGTGCCTCGTGGTAAATGCAACATGGCGGACCTCGTAAAATATACTCGGCGTGAAAGATATGTGGTCCGTATGTTCAACTACATATTGTTCAAGGCCGAGGGCAGGTCAAAAGAAGAGTGGAGCGCTGACTAATTCATCGGTTATACGACCATCTTGGAGAGGTACAACAAAAACGGCCTGACGGATGAGAAATGGACCGAGGAACGCAACCGTATCCCTGACGACAAGGTGAGGAAGGTGCCAAGGCGGTTGGGCGGTCCTGATGAGATTAATGGCGAGAACGGTGCGGGACTGGAGGCAACCCAAGGCATGTACAAGTAAACCCCGTTCCACCTCAAGTGTTTCATATATGAGGCAATCGACTGCTTGGACGACCTCAGAGCGGAGGTCAATCGGATATCCTCCAGTGCTTGTCATATATTTTGGGAAGTGGGGAAGAGGATTATCACGATCCTACCATTTTAAATCGAATCGAAGGGAGTGCTCACCGACAACGAGTAGGTTGTTGGTACGACGAGGGGGATAAAGATATGGGCAACCATTCTTGATATGTCAACATCACCGAAATGTGTTCCGTGGGATAATGATGCCTTTTGCAAACTGTACGCTTTCCTCATGACATGCTGTGGCGAAAACTGGGACTTGATCATTTTCGCGCCGATGAAACACCAGAAACAAGTGATGCAGAGTGTGTACAACTGGGATGATGTTGAGGTGCTCACAGGGTCATGGTACAAACACTATACACCTTCGACAACCTTGAACAAGTACGGTAACATTGCAATTCGGTACACTGACATGATCGTTATTGTCCTCCGAGCCAAGAACGACAATTTGGACAATATAACGGTTGCGCCGAAATTGCGAGCCGAGTTGATAAATTTGAACGTTGAAGAGGGTGAATTTGTGAGGTGCTCAGGGGAGTGTATCGGCGTGGAGGGCGACACTGACGCGGTTTATTCTTGGATGGAACGAGAGTCAGCACGTCTTTGAAAACTATGCAGCTCGTTCATCAGGGAGGACGATGACGTGATGCTGTTGGGCAGGGCGCATGCGGGACTAATTTGGGAACTCGCTCGCGCCAGACACCACGTGTTTGCGTGTGACGACACGACAAAAGAGCTCACATACCTTTCCAAGTTTTTGAAGTTTTATGTGAAGGATCCGAGGAACAAATGTAGGTTCGAGAAGCCCCAAGTCGAGCACCGCAAGGACCGAGGCATATACTATAAGCTCAATAGAAAGAGGGAGAAAGTGTGGGCTTACTTGTTTGGTGATGCTCCACGGTCGGCGGTTGATAACGACTACGTCATCAAGAAAAGTGAACTGGAAGTAGCAATGAACGAGTACCACGGATCGCACATGGGTGCTTTCCACATGTTCGTCGCACGTTATGAGCATCTGTATTTCAATATGAAGAAAAGAGCACTGTCAAGCAGAGACTATGCAGACTTGGCACGTAAAGCTGGCAACTTCAACAACATCGATTGTGATGAAGACACGTCAGACTCCGACCTGGATGTTCCATCGCGCGCGACACGACGTTCAGCGCAGGGAGCACGTGTCGAGGAGCCGCAATGGCGCACCAACGCAGATGCGGAGAAGACGAGGTCGAGTTTGGGAGCGACACGTGCAAGTGAGGGAAACGTGGAACATAGAATGAATGCAAGGGGAGAAAAAAATTGTGTGCCAACGAACCCGGTGGGTGCAAGTGAGGGAATTGTTAACTCACGGGGCAATACAGCGGTAGGAGAGAATGAGTGTGAAATGACCCCGCCGACAGCTGGACCATCATCGACACATGCACTGCAGGCCGAGCAGCGAACGCTCAAGTCGGTGGACACAGATGAAGACGAAGACATGGATATGACAACACTCGTGCCGAATCTCGTGCCAGGAAAACCGTTATCTCAAGGCTTTGTTCAAGACCCTTCAGTGTCATACTTGTTGCAAGACAAGTACAAGGAGTCATCGGAGGAGGATTGGGGTCATCAGATTCTCTGGCATGAGGGCATGTTCGAACCATGCGTGTTTGCAGGCAAGTGGCACATGGCTGTGAAGACAAGAGACCGCAGGTGGGTCACGAAGGAAAGAAAGGACGCTGCGATATGGCACAACCTGACGAAAACGCAACTTTTTCGGCGGGTTTTACAAGAAAATGTTGGTGCAAGCGAGGTGGCTGTAGCGGCAAAGGCGAAAGCTTTGTTTGAGCATCTGCGTGCGAACAAACAACTAGAATTCATCACAAAGTTCTACGACCTTGCATCAAGTGTGTCGTACGGCTCCATCGATTGGAAAATCAAACAAGCGTCAGCAGTACAAAGAATTGATAGTATCACCTCTCAGAAGACTCAAGACGTCATCGCGTCTAACACCATCGTTGCGATGGCCAGAGGGGATGCAGGCTGCGAAACGGACACACGTGCAAACGCAGGTCACATACAGAATGAACAATTGCGAGTATGTATTCAACAAAGCACACAGAGAAGCGCAATGGGGGATTCCACTATGATATGCAAGGACGACGACGACAGGGAGTCGGACACATTGACAGAGCCGCCAACGCGCGGGGTCAACGATGGGGCAACAATCGTTGGATCTTCGGGTCTCTTGTAGCGACAATGGCGGCGAGGCAAGGCGTATCTGAGATGATGGAGACCGATGCGGGCCAGGATGTTGAAATACAGACCGTGAAGGTGGCGCAAGAGGAGGTGGCAGCAACAACAGAGGAGATGAAGAAATGTGAGGGATCTCGCGAACACTTTTCCATAATAGATATGAGATCGAAGAGTACGGACGAGGATATGATCCAAGATAACGACCAAAAAGATGACCACGCTGCACCACGAGTGGAAGGTGACAACAAAGAAGACGAGCAACGATTGAGATGGTCAACGAGAGCAGTAATTAAGAAAACTGTGTTTGATGCGTAGGAAAGCCTTAGACGGGCATGGGTGTTTACACGTTTCAGGTTATATTGATGTGTCGCCACAAATCATGATGCGATATTGACCCGGTCCTCACATGGGGTGTCTACGCATTTCTGGTTATATTGATAGGTTGTCGCTGGGTACTATGTTAGAAAACTATGTTAGACAGGAATGGGTGCAAACGCGTTTTGGGTTATATTGTTGTCTTAATGGAAGTGTTATTGTGACACTGCAATTCTCGAAATTGTAGTGCCGATAATAGAGGGTGCCCCATCTTGATACGTAGGTGTGTGTATGTGTGTGTGTGTGTGTGTGTGTATGTGTGTGTGTGTGTGTGTGTGTGTGTGTGTGTGTGTGTNGTGTGTGTGTGTGTGTGTGTGTGTGTATGTGTGTGTGTGTGTGTGTGTGTGTGTGTGTGTGTGTGTATGTGTGTGTGTGTGTGTGTGAGTGTGTGCGTCTGTGTGAGTAGGCAGAGGTGGACTCATCAGCAGCGGTAGGTTTTGTGTGTGGATTAAATTGTATGTGCGTGTTTGGTACAGTTTTATAATAAAGGCATATGAAAACACACTATATGGGGCACTTTGTCTGCCATGTGTCAAGGACACCTCTAATTTCAGAGAACTTGTTATGCCATCTTCTAGTGCGCTGCGAATGGTCGTGTTAACCTAAATCCCCACGAGCTTAAAAAAAGGAAACCATACTAACAGAAAAAAAAAAAAACCCGCGAAAATATGTGAAACAGCAAGGCTGGAATAGTGAACTTATATTCTAAATACTGCCCAGAGTACTGAACATGAACATCAGAGAACTGATGGAAGCAGGGTTACCGTTAACCACCATAGATCGCGATAAGTATCATTGATCAATTTGCTTTCAAAAAGTACACGAAAATTGGGCAAGAATTGTAGTTGTGTTATGCACCATATTACGAGGAAAATGGAGGTCGGGGTGTTCATGTCAACTCGCTATAGTATCCTGTTGCCAAATTTTCTCCGCCGTTTCGAGCATGCAAATATGGCAGGCCCCGATCACGATAGCTTACGCTGCGGCATAATGCATTGTCATGTGCAGAAAGGAGGAACATAGAAGAAGTACGAAGATGCAAACAGGGATGAACGATTCACTTAGCAACGGATAAGTTATCTGAGAAGGAGACGGGCGCGGTGCAACATTTACGAGATTCAGTGCAAGCGGAGAATCGGACGGTCTGGACAACCACATACAACGGGGCAACAAAAAAAGAACTAACACTAACCGGACATGATTTGAGCTTCATACTGTTTCAAGGCAATTGGTTGAACACCGAAATAGTTAACTTTTATTTTAGCATCGTTTGGCTTGACCTCATGTGTCGCATAAGCCATCGCGAGTGTGATAGTGGACAAGACGGAACAGTGGCAGAAGGAAAAGGGCGCATCCCGATAACAACAATTTTTAGTTCCTTCTTCTTCGCAAAATTGTTCGACGACGACATGCAATACCTATATAGCGCAGTGCAGAAGTGGATGACAGATATCGATGTGGGTGACGTGGACTTAATAATAGCTCCATTCCATATCCGGATGTCCAACCATTGGACACTAGTAATAGTAGACCTAAGACGCCAAAAAATGGAGTACTACGACTCGCTTACGCCTGACAAAGAATCGGCAAGGAAAGTGACAGGTGGTTTCGCAAGATTCTTGTTCGAAAGATCGGTTGAACAGGGTAAGGTGGTGGATACAAAAGATTTCAACCACATATGGAATGTGCCAGACATTCCTAGACAGCGCGACATTAACGAATGCGGTGTGTTTATGCTAACATATGCGTCACTTTTGGCAAGAGGATTTCTCCCGCCATTCAACTTCTCTTTCGACGACATCCACAATATAAGGGGACGGATCGCTTTAGATGTGGTTGTCACACCGAAATAGGAGTTACTTGTGCAACAAATGACATTTGATAGACGACATTATGAAAGTAAAACATTTGTTTATTTTTTAGCAAATGTAAAGAGATCATTGGCTCTGCAAAATAGACATGCATGAAAATGTCCGAATGTATTTAACAAACCAACAACGCGACATGCTCGATTGAACATCATTCCTGTCTTACTTCATATGACCTCGTACCCCTTACCCCTTACCCCTTACCCCTTACCCATTTACCCCCTATACCCATAAAACATTGCATAAATTACATACACAAATCGGAAAAAAATGGACTTTCAATTTCGCGCAAAAAATAAAAAATGTACGTTTTGACGAAATCGCAGTTATGGAGTTCACGGAGAGCGGGATCGGTTTTTYTTTTTTTTTTTTGGSKGGGGGGGGGGGGTAAAGGRGGGKGGGGGTCATCGACGGGTAACCCCGATAATTGTTTCAATTTTTTTTTTGACAAATAATATATATTTTTAATTAAAAACGGAAAACAAAAAATTCAGCCAGCCAAAATAAGCATTTTGATTTGTTATTTTATAGGTTATTTATTTTTTTTAATATTTTTTTCAATATCATCACGCTGTGGGGCTTGAGGCGACCTTTGCTGGGTGAGACCTTTCAAAAAAACAAAAAAACACCACTCTTTCATGGTCTGCCCGTTCACAAAAAAAACACCAAATGAACGGCCGTTCACGTTCAAGTGACCGGTGCCGTTCACGTTCAGGGTGACGGCACTGCGCCGAACGACTATGATGCCAGTGATATCAATGGAAGCCAGTGTTCTCCAGGATCTCGGAAGCGCAGTGCCATGGACCACTTGGTGTTGTTCAATTCATCAGACGATGAGGCGTTCTACTCAGACGGGAATGACAACAGCCAGGAGGTCAAGGCTGTCAAGCAACGTGGTAAGCCTCCGACGAACTGCGTGGACACTGGTGAACTGCGGCTGTTGCGCCGAGGGGACTGTTATCCTTCTATGACAGCGTTGCAGGACGCAGTGCTGTTTAGTGCTGCAGTGGCACAATTCCAGTTCAACACACTACGCTCGTCCCCTATCTTGTACCACGTCATGTGCGAGACACCTGATTGCAGTTGGGCGAAGGCCAGGGCTCCTAATGGGGGAGGGGGAGCCACAATCGTAGAACAAAGCAGACATCGCATTGGCTTTGGCTGCAAAGGGCCTGTGACACGCAAAGGTGGCAACAAACATGCCAGCGAGAGGTGGGAGTACCTCATGGCGGAGGAAAAGTTGCAGGAAGGGGGGACCGTGACTGCAAAGGGTTTGCAGGATTGGTTTGATGTCAAGGCAAAAACCACCGTCTCTTATGACAAGGGCCGGCGTGCCATCAAAAAGGGGCTCATTGAACAAAATGGAGTGGCCGAGGAAGGGTATGCACAACTGTGCACATAGTGTAGGGTCGTGCGTGAAACGAATCCGAACTCCATTACGGGTCAGCAAAGCAAAGGGAAGGTATTCTACCGCGTGTTCTTCGCATTGGGAGCGTCGGTGACCGGTGACGAGCTTCGTGCATTGCAGGCCGCTGATGCCTTTCGGTGCAAAACCTTGGTCATTTTTCCACCCCAAAATGGAGGCACGGCGGCGGACGTCCCCAGGGCCTGAGGGTCTCAGCCTGGCGGGCCCGAGGCTGGACCCGAATTCTTTTTGGTACGTCCCATGCCGTGGCTCCATTTTGGGTGGGGGGCTGTTGCCAGACAGCCAGTGTCCTTGAACGGCATTTTGAGAGGAGACATTTCGTGCAATGCAAGATGCAGCCTGACKGCATCGTGGGCACGTGGCGCCACAGCATCACGTGCGCATGGTGCGAGAGCATTGTGTGGGCAAGTCGGCATGACAGGGCATTCATGTGGTGCAACAACAAGACCGTGTCCACATGGCAGCATGCATTTAGTGAAGCTGCTGCGACAACAGGGTCGTGTACAGGTGGCGCGAGAGCGTCGTGTGAAGGCGGGATGATAAGATCGTGTCCACGTGGCAGCATGGAATTAGTGCAGCTGCTGCGGTTGCGAGCACAAGCTTTAGCACGACCAACAGATTGCCAGGTGTTAGCCAGAGAAAAGGGAAGCACGCCACAAAGCTACCTCTGAAACTGGAGAAACGGCATCCCACGGACCTGTGTGAAACTGGGACTGCCCTCCCCGATGGTACTTAGGCCCGTCGCCATGGAAAAGAACCTTTGTTATCAAGCTGGCATGGCCTCAGGCCCTATATGAGGCCCGACCATCCTCAGACCAGGGTGCACGAACGACAGGAATTTTTTGGGGGGGCACCTCCGGCGCGCACATCCATTTTCGGGAGGGAATATGACAAAGGGTTTTGCTGCGGGGGATTTCAACAATTTCCCCCCATTATTTTTGTCTCTTTTTCTGCTTGTGGATCATCATCCTTTGTGGATCATTCCGTTTCTGCTCAAAGCATACTCTAAACAGACGTTTTCTGGGACTTGTGTGTCTGTGTCATGTGCTGCGTGGCAGATTGGCGGTGGGTGCAGGGAGCCCAAGATTAATCACAGCCAGTGACACGACTTTGCCAGCAGCTCCTCATCTTCTGAGGACCAATTATCAACCTTTTTCTTTTTTTTTTCTTTTTTTTTTTTGAAACAATCATCCCGAGCTGTTTTTCAGAAAAAGGGGAGAAGTTTGTGTGGATCGCCGGCACCTGATAAGGCAAAAGTAGCAGTCTCCCTAGAAAGTGCATGTGCATGCCGAACTCGTACTTGATCACTGGTCCACTGATCAGCTATGGCAGCCCTGCAGATCACCATTGTCTGCACCTGTCTCTTATACACATCTAGATGTGTATAAGAGACAGGTGGATCGCCGGCACCTGATAAGGCAAAAGTAGCAGTCTCCCTAGAAAGTGCATGTGCATGCCGAACTCGTACTAGATCACGGCTCCACTGATCAGCTATGGCAGCCCTGCAGATCACCGGTGTCTGCACTGGTCCACAGGTGGAAGGCGCTCAGCTGAACAATCAACCACTCATTGGCCCGGGTGGCAGGCAGCGTCTGCTCCTGTTCCAGCCCCAGGTACTCACTAAACTCGAAGTTGGATCCCTTGTGCGGAGGCAAATCCACAGTCTGCTCCGCCGTGAGTCTGCCGACCCCGTGGTGGACCTTAGGCAAAGCCAGTTGAGGTGGAAAGCAGCCTGCCCACCGAGCACACCGTGCACAATGCGAAGAAGCGGACATACTAGGGCTATCCCGGGGGATGCGAGCAGGGGTGGTTGGGCGTGCTCCAAGATCGGGCCTCGGGGGAGGTCGAAGAGGACCGCAGAGACAAGCAAGCGGGTTATAACCAGCGAGCCAGACCCGGGCATATTCGGCCCCAACACAGTGACGTGGCACCTGCATGGTGATCCAGCATGGTGGATCGCTGGGATCTGCAGTCTGTACCTCCAGGCACTGCATCCACGTGCTGTCGCGGCCGTTGTGCAAAACTCTGTGTTCCAGAAGGACCCCCTGGGCCGCCTACTGCGCACCGCCAAGTACCTGAGCGTGACCACATACGGCTCAACGGAGGAGGCAGAAAACGCTGCCCGCTGTGTGCGTGCGGTGCATCACAAGCTCCGTGCTGTGGACCCGCGGACCAGTGACGTGATAGGCCTTGACGATCCTGATCTACTGCTGTGGGTGCACTGCGCAGAGGCTGCATTGATCGCCACCATCATTCAGCGTGCGGGCTTTACGCTGTCCGACGAGCAGATGGACCGCTACTACGACGAGCAGCGCCGGTCTGCTGCTCTGGTGGGCCTGGACCCGGAGAAGACACCAGGCTCGCAGAGTGCCATGGCAGATTACTTCACTCAGGTTCGTCCTCAACTGCAGAGGACACCCGATTCAGATCTTGTGTACGACTTCCTTCACGCCCCGCTGACCAACTGGTGGTCGTTGCCCGTCAACCTCGCTTATCTGCCCATCAGCCACCTCGCATATTCTTTGCTACCAGATTGGGCCCAGAAGCTCCACGGGCATAGGGCATATCCCACCGGGCTGGTGGACGCAGGGTTGCACGCGTTCCGGGCAGCTGGACTTGCGGTGCCAAGGGAGATCCGGGCGCGCTATCCCTTTAACCATGTCGAGCGTGCTGTGGAACGCCTTGGTGAGCCCGTCTTCCCGGCAATGTCAGTGCCACTGCCGCGTTAACGACCCAGCGCCATTGAATGTTCTCCAACTTGAAGTAATGGGTGTTCCTGCAGTCACCAGGCCCGTTTGAGGCCCATAAGGGGGTCAACTAAGGGCCCTATGGGAGTCTATGCTTCTTATCCTTTCCTCTGTTCATTTTCTGAACTACATTCTTTCCCCAAACATAACGCATATGTGTTGAACTCGAGTTTTCAAATTTGAAAAAAAATCGAATAGAACACATACGCGTTGTATTCAAAATTTAGGGCTATTCGAATAGAACAGATATGTGGTCTATTCAAATAGAACGCACCCTGTGTGTTGTATTCATTTACAGCATATGTGTTATTTTCGAGGGAAGGAGGTGCGTAATTCGTTGTTTATCCCACCAGTACATGGGCACCTGGGCCGCGGGCCTGACACCTTGAAATCTGCAAGCGCGCAACGAGAACAAGACTGACCACGGATCCAAGTTATCGACGGCAGGCCCAACGTTTGACGTTCCGGCCACGTTTTCTTGTGGCGACAAGTTTTGGACTGCAAGGCTGGGGTCGTGTTTAGTGGTTTTACTTTCAGTGCTGCTGAACTACGCCTGGGCTATGGAGGTAGAGGAGAACCTCACGGTTGGACAGGAGGGTAGATAGAAGAGCAGAGTGATGGAAAAAAAGAAGGGCGGAGGGGTCGGACAAGAGAGATTACCTTTGGGGAGCGTCAGTCCTCGTCTCCACTTCCTTGATTGAACAATATCTAGAAGGCCCCTGTTGTAGTACCAAAGGTAATCTCCGATGGACGCCCTGTCTTGTAGTTTTGTCACCGCGTCGGGTAGTGAACTCACGAATTTGAGAGGTATACATCGGATAGTAAGGACCTCGCTCCACTACTGTTCGCTGTACGAATTTGTGGACAATTCATGGACAGCAGTCGGAGAGTTCAAAATCCGGGAAACCGCGGCATCACTCCACTTACTGTCTGCTGTTTTTTTTGTTTCTTTTTTTTGAATCAGAAAGGTACCAGGAAAAAGGGTTAAGAAGAGATCTGCCAGCATTGATTACTCTAGCATTCAGGGGATCGACTTTGCACGTTGTTAAGAAACGGAAGGAAACCTCTTGACCCTGTGCCAAGCGCCAAATACCTGCTGCTGAGAAGCTAGTTCGTCCCTCCCCCAACTACCCCTACGGTCCTACCCAGACATCGTTCTCCAACTACCAGTCTGCGAGCATTGATTGCTCTGATTACCAGGGGATTAACTGAGCAGGTGATGTATCTTGTGAAGGAGTGAGCATTTGATAAGCGATGCCCAGGGGCCACCGGGGAGGCTTATCTCATTGTTATCCGATCCAATGTTAAGTAAACATTTCGCTAGGATTAACTGAATGTCCCTAACAACCCCAATCGGAGTGTTAGGTATCCTTTTATCTGCAGACGGAAAACCATCAACGAACAATGACTGGATCTCCAAGCTGGCCTTAGCTAAATTAGAATTATGGAAAGATAAGCAGACATCTATTATTGGATGATCGCTGGTTATTAACAATGTGATCCTTGCTTCGATATGGTACAAATCAGTAGTATGGTCTCTGGACAAACCGACTCTCAAACCTCTACAGAAGCAAATTACAGCTTACCTCTCGAGAGGTAATCATGAACATAAGAATGTAATAAGTAAAGTGGCCTAGCAAGCGATAATTCAACCTAAGATAAAAGGGGGATTGGGAATATTAGACCTGTCACTCAAACAATAACACTCTCCATTCAGTGAATACTAAGGTTACTTTTCAATACAAATGTACCCTGGTTAGCTCCAGCCTGGGAGCAAATAGCACGACTAGCTCCGGCAACCCCTGAGGGGACAAATCCGATGATATGGTTGGAAAATCGCTATTGGTCAATCCCAAAAGGTGGAGTACAGGCCTGAACACAAGAAACGGACCCTCATCGTAGAGCAACAAGGAAAAATTTCAAAAATGATCGTTTTTGGAAGGATCTGCTACGGACTTGGTGCAAACTACCGCTCCCAGATAAAGTTCCCCCAAATCGTTGGGAAGAAATCTGCCAACAACCCCTATTTAACAATAGATGGATCACCGACACTCGGGGTAAGATGCTTCACTGCATGGATTCTCCCTGGAAGGAATGAATGAGAAAAAGTATACTTAGAATTGGGGATATCTGAAGTGCAGAGGCCCGGGACTGGCGTCCTCTCTCAGACCTGAGATCCACCTTGCGCTATTGTAGGAGGACAGAAGAGGCATTGGAGACAATAATTGAATCCATTCCCTTAGAGTGGGTAAAGATCCTCAAGAAAGGACCACAAATCAAGGAAGGTGATTCGGTTGGCATCCAAGGGGATACCCTGCTAGTTGGAAATGTAATTATGGTAAACTCAGATGGGACCATTCTTATCTCCTTGTTTTCTCTAACAAAAAACAATAAGATTACGGAAAGCCAATCAAAGGAAGTCAGATGGGTCACAACATAGCAAGTTTTTAAGATTAGAGTCTTGAGGTGCAAAGAACATTGGCTGGCCCTTAGGCCATCATGTGCAATTAATAATTTGACCTTAGACCCGGCATCCTGGTTATGGACGGTCCCCATGGGGAGACGAGGAAAATGCATCCGCTCTCTTCACACACTAACAATCAAATCAACCTACCGTAAGTTAAGACCAAAGTTGAACCTGAAAGACAGAGTGGAAGCAAGATTGATGAAACAATTAAATGTCAGCAAGGAGGAAGTACGAAATATCAAATGGTTTAAAACAATAAAGACTAAGTCGGCCAAAGTCCCCTCACTGCAATGGCAGATAGACCATCGATGTCTCCCAACCAATGATTGGCTTATAGATAGATCCTCTCTAGTAGAGCAGAGGGGTGTTGCTTTACCTTGGTGTAAACTGTGCTGCTCAACTTTTCCGTCTAGGAAAATTCCGGAAACCATTGAACACATCTTTCCGCAATGTCCAAGTGCAGTTTGGCTGTGGCGATGGTGGGACAAGATCTGGACCAATATTAACACATCCCAAACCTGGCCGTGGAAATGGAAAACACTATTATGTGAAACCTGGTCTCCGGATCAGATGGATGAATTTTCACACAATTTGTTTGTAAGGGGAAGACGAGCAATCCTTTGGGCCCTATGGAGGTGCAGATGCACATTTGAAATGGAGGGAGCAAGACTGGAAGGCCCAGAATTTACAGAATCAATCAAACTGCAAGTGCAGACAATTATCTCAGCTCAATGGGATAAAGTAAAAGAAAAGATTAAATTCCTATCCTCAGAAAAAGAAATCCTACAACACATACAACGGTTCAGTGGCGCATGGCTAGGGGGACCTCAAGGGGGCAAGATAGGGGAGATTAAAGGGGGCAGAGACAGGGGAAAAATCCTGGCTGGAGAAAAGAAAGAAGTCCGGTAATCCCCCTGCTATACCCCTTCACCCCCTTTCAGAATTCCCAGACCCCTTCCCTCCCTCCTTAAGCCTGGTTCCGCTGAGCTGGTTTGGGCTTGAGCAGGAAGAAATGATTTGAAAATTGAAAGTCTTTTCGAAGCAATTTTGAAGCAATTTTTGATACTGTAGAACTGCAGAATTTCCTGCAAATTTCCTACAAAAAAGTTTAGGAGGTAGTACTGCTAGCAATATCACGGGTATCTGGCGGCCAGTTCTGGCTGAAGAGGCAGTTCTTCCTTTTCTCCACACTTCCTGTTTCCTTGATCATGTATCCGCATTATTTGTATGAGGGACGCTGGACCCGTTTTCCAGCAGGTGCAGCTCCCCACCAATAGACTGGAGCTAGTAGCTGGGCTGTTAGTGGTGGATGTTTATAGCAACATCACTAACAGTCT